ATCAAAAAAAATGTAAACATCCTTTTCAAACAAATGCAACACGTTTGTTTTTTTAAAGCGCTCTAGAAATAAATCTGGCGTTGACCATGACCCTGTTAATATTTGCCATCACAGGAACGTTTTATAAAAAAAGAATAACCTCCTGAAAACATCATCCGAATGTTGCTTTGAAAATGTTCTTCATTTGTTATCATGTAACATTCAGGGAACGTTTTATTAAGAACATCTTTAATGTGTTACTCCAACAACATCCAAAACACATCCTTAGAATGTTGCAGGCAAAACGTTCCACCTTTGTTAACATATTACATTAAAGGAACATTTGATTAAAAACTTTCTGTCAACTCAGGCCTCAATAACATCCTGAAAACATCCTCTGAATGTTGCAGTTAAAACTTTATGTCTTAGTTTACCTTAAACCTTATAGGAACATTATTTGAAATAATAAACATCCTTATAAGGTTCTTTGAACATCAGATTAAAACGTTTCTTTAAAACATTATTAGAACCTGTAGGTAACGTTAGCCAAAGTTGTGAGAACGTTCCCCGCTAGCTGGGTTCTCAGTGAAGTATTAAAATTGAGACACAGCATGTGTAACGTCTAATTATTATTATTATTATTGAAATTTAAAAACCATTGCTGTTTTATTCTGACAAACCTGACATTTACAATTGATGTTTCAAACCTCAACAAGCTTTTAATTCAACTGTGTTGCAATATTATACATGTTGCCACAAGCTTTCTATAATAACAAGAACACTATTTTTTACAGAGATATTGTTTTAGAATAATGTTTTCCATCCCTCTTCGATATTAAAATGTATTTCCCTTTTGCCCTGCAGCAGTGTAGCGGTGAACCTGAGGCTGTTGGTCTATAGATATGGCATGAAGAAATCTGGTGACGCAGCGAAGTGGAACACAATGTTCAATAAGTACAAAGAGACTACTCTGGCTCAGGAGAAGGACAAGCTGCTGTATGGACTGGCCTCTGTGGAGAGCGTGGAACTCCTTTACAAGTAATCATACACAGAGTTTACATGATACTATTAAAGAAGTGTTGTTGCATCGCCTGGGTTAGACTGGGTTTGTACAGCCATGTTGGAAATATTTAAATGTTGGTGTACTATAACAATGTGAACATTTCCAGTTACCGTAGAAAGAAACTGTTTATAGCGATAACCTTTGTCCTGTCCCCCAGGCTGCTGGAGGCCACTAAAGATGAGAGTGTGGTCAGGAGTCAGGATCTCTTCACTGTGGTGAGATACGTGTCCCTCAACCCACTGGGGCAGGACATGGCCTGGGAGTGGACCACGCTCAACTGGGACTACCTGGTCAACAGGTGAGGGCAACAAGGTCTATGACCTGACAAACAGAGAGAGACAGTAACACACTATCAAGCAAGCAACATAAACTACATTTTAAGATGCATGAAGTATTCTTTGGTTAATTGAATTGAAGAAGTCTGGGAGGATAAGTCTGGAGCTTGACAGATAATGGTGCAAATGTAGAAGCAATATGTCTTAGGTGCTTGCCCCACGAGGACGCATACGGCCGTTTGCGTAACTGTTTAGTGTCATATAGACCGTTTTGCCACACTAGGACGACCGAATATGACAGTAAACAACTGCGGTAACGATAACGTGTCCCCAAGGTGGACTAGCACGGCATACGCTCTGGGGGGTCCAACGGCTCCGTGTGTAGGACCTATACGATCATTTTGTGATAATGATGACGCAATAGCCCTGCCTCCCCCCACCTCCGCTGCTCACCGTCAAAGTAAACTGCACACTGAATTCAGATTATTTATCTTTCTCTCGATATAGACATCAACGCGAGTGGAGTCTAATCTGGCAAGACGTTTTTTGTGTTTTGTGAGCAAAACACACAGGAGCTGCGTGGAGCTGCGTAGAGCTGCGTAGAGCTGCGTGTCTCCGCGTGTCTCCGCGTGTCTCTGTCTGTCTATATTGCGTGTGGACGGAAGCTTTTTTGCGATTGCGTTAATCCTATGCGTTTTGCCGTATGCGTCCTCGTGGGGCAAGCACCTTAGATGACGAGCGATCGGGAACTACCTAGGGGTGTCAAACTCAATTTCATCGCAGGCCACATTAGCATTATGGTTGCACTCAAGGGGCCAGTTGTAACTTGAAGACTATATAAATATACATATATAAATATATAATATATGTAAAATAATGTATTATATTACAGTATTGACTAACATTGGGTTATTATCAGTTCAGGTAATAACTTAAGTACGTATGAAAAAAGAAGTCTAGGGCAAATCATTTAAAGCAAATATTCAACAATTATACCACTTGTATTGAATATTATAGTCTTCGCAAGCTCTTGCGGGCCACATAAATTGAGGTTGCGGGCTGGATATGGCCCGCTGGCCTTGAGTTTGACGACCCTTGACCTATGCGGACATAATGGCTGGAATAGTTTTCTGAAGATATGTCCGAAATACTTTCCTTTTAAATGCTCTTGATACCAGAATCAAGCGGCCACACGATCCTGATGTAGTTTGTTTATAGCCAAACGCTCGCAATCTACTTCTGGTGATTACGCTTCAACCAGAGTGATGTTAATATTTGGAGATTATCATGCTGAACAAAACGTGCAAATATCATTGATGTTGGTTTGGAAATTGGTGGAGAGTCTCCGGGAAAGAAGGGAAAGTCTGAGGGTATCTGGTGGATGGTTGAAAAATGGCAATGAAGGGACCTGAGTAATATAAAAGGGAATATTGCTGGAGAGAAAACACTTGGTTTTTAATGTGATTTGCTGATCAGGGTCATGCATTTTCTTTCTCTACAGGTACACCATCAATGACAGGAACCTTGGTCGCCTTCTGGGTCGAATCACCACCAGCTACAACACTGAGCTGCAGCTGTGGAAGGTTGGTACTGTCCTTTTGTGCAAATATCTACGACTTTGGTTCATTAAATGCTGGTGTCTTTGTTAGACTGTTGTTTATATGTTTGGTTTCAGGTTTCCCTTTTTTTATTTTGCTGCTGTAGTGCAGGTCGTAAACGTGTCTTCCCAGTAACTTACTAAATCGCTTCTTTAATAAATGCTCCCAGTAGGCCTGAAAAGGGCTATGAAGATTGTTATGAGCCAGTTTTACTGCAGAAAAATGTATCACAAGATCAATATATAATTTTACCCTGGTGATAACTTAGCTTAGAGTTTTATTTACTGATGCCTCTTAAGGGAAAAAGTGGATCTTTTAGTGTTTGAGGCAAAGAAAGTTGAGTCGTTTTCAGACTTGAAACATATTTCTCTCTGCCGGTTCCATAGATGGAGCATTTCTTCGTCAAAACACCGGATGCTGGTGCCGGGGCGATGCCCCGGCAGCAGGCGCTGGAGACAGTGAGGAACAACATCGAGTGGATCAGTACCAATGAGGAAGAGATCAGCGCGTGGCTGCAGAATAACGCCCTCTAAAGCTGCATCAGTGTTAAACCCTGCAGGGATAACTGTACAAACATATGGCCTTTACCATTCACTGCACACAGGGCCAGGCTTGGTTAGGTTAGTGTTCTTTTGAAGGGCCAAAAACAGGGCTGCTGATCTGAATTAACATTGAAAAACCAAATCCAAACAGATATTCACTTTCTAACACATTGGCGTCTTACACTTATCTGATTTCCAACGTTCCAAGTGTCCGTTCCCAAGTACCATTTGGCTAATTGCCGAATCTAAAACTTCCCCTTCACTGCTATCATCAATATTAAAGCATTCTCATTCCATTGTTCTCCCATCATGTGGCCGCCCAGTTTTCTTTTATTGCAGCCTTTTCCCTCTGTAGTTCTACTAGCTTTGTCCTTTTTGATTTGTTCCTGATCTTGTGGTCATCACACAGAGGATAATAATACAGCCTTTTCTCTGCAGAGTGCAGCCATGATCTTCAGACCCACATATAAAATATGATGATGAATTCTGCCTTAGTACACACCATACTGCATTTGTGTGTGTTTGTGTATTTGTGAGCAGAAATGGAGATAAAGAGTTGAACGAATAAATGTTTACTACAATGCTTCTTTCATTATTTAATGTTGGTGGGATGGAAAATGTTCGTATAGTGAGTACAATTTTGAGTCTTTTATAGAATCTATGTATTTTTACATTAACTTTATGCATACAAAACCACACCAATAATGCACCAACAATGCATGAGAAAAGCATCATTCTGAGAGTGTGTAAGAGGCTTTAGATCAGGGTCAGCCCTTGGCATAGGCAGTATAGGCGAATGCTAAGGGCACATTAACCCATCGGGGGCGCCGAAAATTGGGCAGGAAAAAAAAAAGTTAGAAATTAAAATATATATTTTTTAAATTTCATAACAACACAATTTCCCGATTATCTTGTGTCCATGTCTTTCTGTTTTGGTGGTCATGCCACAACCGTGCATGAGTCATAGTGAGTGTCTGCATTTTCGGGGATAGGGGCCGCCAGCTAAAATCTTGCCTAGGGCAGCAAATTGGCCTTTCCAAGCACAGGATGTGATAATGTCCACCAGTTGAAGAATGCAATCCATACACAGAAAGCATTTTATTGTCAGATAGTTATTGAAGTATACCAAGAATCGGAATGTACACAGTAAACACCACAGATAAGATTATTAAGAGAGAAGAACTGACATTGAATCATGTCACTACATCATAGCAGTCTTCTCAACATGGTTTTAAGAATACAATAAGGGTCTGATGGAATTTCACCTTACTGGGTCAGAGTTTGTTGGGAGGTTGTCATGGGAACCTGAGTATTGATGGTGATTCGCTGCCTGGTTTGACATCGGACCATTCCTATGATGGCTCTTCTGAACCTGCAGGAAAAGATCATCCACTCACTATTACAGCCAAATACACTACGACATTAAAGTAACCCCATAACAATAATAATAAATAAAACAACAAACAAACAATTCATAAAAGATAAGAGGGTCAAAGGTCAGATGTCAGAGTGACAGGTGCCACTGCAAAGGGATTTGGAGGCGGGACTAAGGTTTATGAGGGTCATAAATAGGGATGGGTATCGAGAACTGGTACTAAGTCGATACCGGTACCTGATTGGACGGTATCGGTATACCGTTAAGCCGCTGGACAAACTGTGCTGCTATCGGTATATGTGTTACGTCTACTTCCTTAGTTTAACTTTAAACCATTCTGGTTGGTTGGGAACCCTCATCCCGTGTGATGTATCCGGTTTGAGACCCCTCTGATTGGCCACTGTAAATGCGACTCGTCATCTCTCTCAACAGCGCTCTTATTATTGTTGTGAGACTCCCGCAGGCATGGCGGACAGAGCGAAGCGATCGAAGGTCTGGGTGCACTTTAAAAAATGTAGTGGCGATAGTGCAAGGTGCAATCTATGTACTCAATTAGTTGCTTGTAAAGGGGGTAACACAAGCAACTTAATGAAGCATTTGCAAACGAGACACTCATTGAATCTACGGTGCAGCATATTTGACAGCCTAAACAATGTGGTTGCTAGCGATACTGCTAATAGTGCTGCTCACTATTAGAAACGTTGCTATCAGAAACAATGCCCGACTGTTTTGGACGTAATATGGTCGGTGTTTACATTAGCATCGCTAACACTCAGAGCTAACCTGTACTTGAGAGAGCATGTGTTAGGGGTGGGCGGATTGATCCCAAAATATCGATACTTACGATATTACGTTATTTCAGGGTTGGGGAAAAATAGGACCCAAATGCAGATTGAGGGGGGAAGCAGGTTTCAAAATGAAATAAAAGGGGAGCTTTATTTACAAAAGCTGAAAAAACAAGAATCCGTGAACAGGTACTGAGGTAGCATCCAAACAAAAAGTGACTGTGACCAACATGAAGGGAGATATGAACGACAAATAAT